AATTGAATTGAATTGAACTATTTCAAATTATTTTCCACACATACTTTTAGGATTTAGAGGAGTAGATAAAAATGTCTGCATGAAAATTATTGGATTGGGGCGCCAGAAAAGGGGAAGGGTAATGTTTGTTTTCTTTTTGCTGAAGGGAAGTGTGACTTTCTGGGAGAGCACCAAACATCAAAATGACAGCGTTTGTGTGTTGCACTTCTGTATTTGGCCATGAAACTCCTGTCTCTGCATCAGGCTTATTGATAGTTGAACATTTTGCGCAACAGCAGTTTCTACCTTAACTTCATCGGCATCATATCAGAAAGCAGAACGACATTAAAGTAAAAGGTGTCCAATAAATAAACTTTTCTTACTCATTGGTGAATTTAAAAGAAACATACTGACTCGTTCGTTCTTCCACTGTTTTCCCATAAAACCAAATCGGCTTAGTAGGGCTGCCACAATTACTCAATTAATTGATTGGTCAGAAAATGTATAATTCCATTATCATTCCCTTGCATAATCTTCGTAAATGTGAAGATCTGCTGCTTTTCTTTGTCTTATGAGACAGTAAATCTGAATATCTTTGGGTTTTAGAGTGTAGCAATCTGAATATGTCACCTTGGGCTTTGAAATTGAAATGAGAACTGGCTGTAAAGTGTGTAGGAGAAACTACAGTGGCTGTGAAAACGCAAAATGTGTAGATACATGGCGGTTCAACATCTACTCCATCTGTACAAAGACATTCTAAGGTAACCAAAACACAATGATTCCTATATACAGGTGATAAAACACTAATGAAAACATACTTATGAATATTATATTCAATTTCGGACAGTAGATCCTAAATGTTACACGCTGAATCTTTAAGCTAAGTCAAGGGGATGACTGAATCAAAATATTAATAATGCTAAAGATTAAGCCCCCCTCCCCCAACTACAAAAAAATGTCAATAAACATTATCCACCTAAAACATTTTTGTCTCTTCTGCCCGTGTGATTGTGCTCCGTGACAGTGAGTAGTGTTGTGAAAACATTAGGAGACCCACACCTCCATTCCCCTCTTTCCTTTAGACTCAGCAGCACACTTTTCATCCCTCATCACATGACGGACAACAACACCGCTTCCAGCATTTACACAGAAAGTGAATGCTCATAGCACAGGTCTGAATGCCTGTTGTTCTCCAGTATGCTCTCAACCCTCCCCCCTCCCTGCCACAAACACACCATCATTAATACAACAATTCTGCATGAGCTAAACTCAGCTGGCAAGTTCCCTATGCTGTTGAAGCCGTACTGCACACAAGGCTTTCAAGAGCCTTGATACAGAAGGGTCCATTCAGCACAACTGTGTGCTGCAGTCCAGCCACTACAGACCGTCATTGTTGAAAGCTTTCACGGCTGTTGAGTATCTGAAAGACTGTATTTGGTCTTTTCTTAATGGTTCAGCCCTGTCACTGGACTAAATATAAGACTGAGTGACACCGGAAAGGCACCCCAAACAACTTTACTCTCCCCTTACTTTGGTTGCCAAGGTGACATTTGATCTCGATCATGATGTGTTCCTGTTTTGCATGTCTCACATTTAAAATTCCCCTCACCCCCGAGATCTTGCTACAGAATTTCATTGCATAATCCTGCTGTGTTTTACATTCCACTGCCATTAATCACAAACTACACTACACACTCTGGTTATAAGAGACCTTGAATGCATCATAATTGTATAACATAACTACATATGTGTGATAACAATCTGCATGACTGGACTTTTGCCCTCATTGTAGACCTTGTTGGAGGAACATTCCTGTGACAATAATGAGGTGGACCCTGACTCTTAATCACTCCAATCTCGCCCCTTGCACTCTCTGTCACCTGCTCAGCAAGAAAACACCTTTGGTAATTATGAAACTGAATCATTAAAGGCACTTACGCAACCACGTGCATGTACTCTGCGAACTTGCCCAGGAACTGGGTGAGGGTTCCAGGGCTTTCGACAATAATGAACGGTGTCATCTCCTCCACAGTATCTGCTGGCAGAGAGATGCCGCGTCTCCTGGAAGGAAGGAGAGGGAAAAAAGCAACAGTTCAACAGTTCATATTAACCCAAAATGAATACATCTACTTTACCTGAGCTGCTCGGCTTTCTTAAATGAAAAGTTTAACAGAGGGCTGTTTACTTGACGGCTGAATTATTCATGAAACAAATGAATAAAAGAAGCCCCTGAAACTATGCCAGGATTTATCAGACTATTGTGATGAGTCTGATAACAATATTTGAGAGTTAAAACTGCTCTAATGTATATTTTTTCATCACCAGTGGGTTGGGTGACTGTGTAACATTGCTCACAGTAACGAACCCACAGAGAATTATCACACAACACTGCAGTAGAGGACTGCGTTGGGATCTGGTCCCGCGGGATGCAAATCTGTCAGGAGTGGGTGTTTTTGACTTTGCTGCCGGCCAGAGCTGTCGGTCAAAAAACTAAACTGTGGGTCCTGGGATTTAGCTTGCACGCACTAGAATGATGGAGAATTCAGTTGAATACACGATTAAAGCCGTTTTTGACATCAAAACTGGTATTTACACTAAAATAACGTTTTACCAGAAGACCAAAATCTCTGTTGTGTGAATGGTCCGAATGTTTGTGGCAGTGGGCGGGAGTGGAACGCACACAAAGTGGGAGCGTGATGAAGAAAACAGTCCGACTAGGGCTGCACGACATAATAATTTTAAGTTTCCATCAACAAAACAAAACAAGTAAAATTGTGATGATGTGACATTTGTTTGAGTCTGTAAACAAACAGACAAAAGAAAATTGTTTCATTAAATCTGGAAAAGAATATTTGTAGGCCGGGGAATCTCTGCTGCACTACAGTATTTCATTATACAGCTGTTTCGATATATTTTACCTTTATCAAAAAAGCTTCTTGTGAATTGGATATTACACATATTGTAATTGACAATATTGTGATGAACTGTGCAGCCTTAAGTCCGACGCAGGCTTCTACTCTGCAGTTCCCAAGCATTTTAGTTCCTTTCAAATTATTGTTTTGATTTTATGGTCCGTAACTTTAAAGTTCTGGTTCAAGACCCTTTTTTAGATGGAGCAGGCAGCTGTTTCTGACAAAAAAACGACCTGCTCAGCACCAACAGACAGACAAAGTTAGCAATGGCAGGTGGAATATTTGGGGGCTACATAGGCAGATATTTGCCTCAGCAGTTGGTGGAGACCGAAACGGAGCTAAAAGGAGAGTAACTATTGGACTTACATTCATCTAATGGACAGAAACACGACTCCAAATGCCAATGTGTGTGCTGTTTGCTAACATGTTTGCCCAATCAACCCAATGAGGTGATAATATTTTACTTTATCAATTATTAATATTCACAAGTGCAGTTAATCAACTGGAAAGGTGGTGTGTCAGACCGAAAAAAAGGAACAATGACGTTTTTTTTATATCTTCTTATCTGTCTTAACTTGTGTGTCTAAATCTCAGTACAAGCACATAAAACCTAAAGTCAATAGTGAAGAATTCTAATTAAATGGAGTAAACTAACTTACTTGGCAACGTCAAGAATAGTCTGCACCCTGATGGCTCCATCGAGGTGGACATGTAGCTCGACCTGTGGATGAGATGAGAAAGATACATGATTAATAAATGATTAATCAGTCAATCAGAACCAATTATTTTCAAACACATTTTATTTCAGTCTAACTGCACACTATATGTTAGAAAGAGAAGAACTGGAAAACGATACCCAGCAGTGTTAAAGAGAGCAGCAAGAGAGAGCAGTGGTGGTGTTGAAGTTCAATGCTTTGGCCGCAGCCCTTCATGAATGCAGAACGCATGACTGGGCAACGCATGGTGAAAAGGCCAGGAGTGCCAGAGAAGGGTCGGCGCTCCTTCCAGCGCTCAGAGCTTTGATTTATTCTGGCAGATGACACCAATAAATCATGCTCCTCCCTCAAACAACTGAAGCCTAAACTGCGCTCTTCAGTCAGACTGAAAATCAAATTAAGTTTTTCTGCCCACAGACATTTAATCCTTATTTCTGGCTGGGAGTGATGAGGAAGAAGAAAATGAGCTTGGTTATGGAAATCAGCCATAAATTAAAGCTCCTAATGTGCACTCAAAGAAGCAGTTGGGAGCACTGTCCTTTTATATTTTCTTGTGTCTCAGTTTATTCTACATAATATTCTACAAATCCTGAAATCTTATTTACTCAATCATCATCTGACTATGAGTGATGGGATCCTACAGAAACACACACTTTCCTGCCAATCTCAGAATAATAGTGTTTAAATGTTTAGTCAATTAATCAATATAGCTGCTTTTCTGCTGCTTTTAATCGATTGAATTTTTATCTGTGTTTCCATTCAAAGGTATCACACATTTCCACAGAATTTTAAGTAAATAATAATAAAGATCCTCACAAATTTTATACACTGTGCTTTTAATAAATAGAACCTAAAGATGTTTATTATCTTTGATTTAATGTTACATAGAAAAACTTTTCAGATATAAAACCATGTTTTCAGTGGCTTTAAACCGATTTGTTTAACTCTGGACTACTGCACAATCAAAACATCCATCAGCTGAAATGTTATAAGACTGTTAAATCTTTAAAGTTTAAGAAAGCAGTCAATGAACTGACGCATGACCACAGCTGAGCTTCATCCAAGAGAAGAGGAAATGTTCTGATGTCATCCACATCTGTTAAAGGATGAATTTGGAAAATATGGTAAAGGTCAAAACGCTCTGAGGGGATTTTCTGAAGAAAAACTTGACCTCAAAGGAGCTATCATGATGCAGACATACTCTGTGTATTAAAATAAATTAAGTATACGTCCCCCGAGAGTTTCTAAAGTGAATCTGAAATACAGATACTGAATGCTTTCCCTCCCCTGACTTACTGGAAAAGAAACCGACACATATTTGAGTGAAACATATTTTTTTTTTCTTAGTTGAGCAGTGACAAAAGTTCTAAACAACCACAGCTCAGTGATTATATAAACATTCTTTGGCCAAATGTCCTGAATCAAAGCATACATTACTATTCAAGAGCTTCCAAACCTGAAGAGAAACCATTCATAAGTCATAAGTCAGTTATCACTTAGGGTATATGCCTGACTAAAGTTCCCTCTTAGACTCAAATTTACCCTTTAGTGTACTTTTTGAAGTTATCTTAGATTTAATCGCAATAAAAACAGTATGTGTTGAAAATGTGGATCTCATTTGTAACGAAGTACTAAATCAGCTTTCAGTAAACAAAATACCTCGACTGCAAACATACTGTGTTAACTGTCCAACACAGATCATTTGAAGGTCCAGTGTGTAACATTTTAGGAGGATCTATTGTTAGAAATGGAATATAATATTCAGAGGTATGTATTTATTAGTGTATAATTACCTGAATATGTTTCTACAGTAGCCCGGAACGGACAATGGCTGTAGATACGGCCTTGTGCTTCACAGCATGTTCTCATTCCCAGTTTGTCAAATACAGACACAAATGGTGTTCAGTTCAGTTGCAGCTAGATGCCACTAAATTCTACACACTGGTCCTTTAACTTAGAGGTATCACTTGGAATTTGAGGGTAATTTGCTGGTGATGTGTGGGTCAAATGATTCATTGATTCATTAAGAAATAGACCTGGAATAACCTGTTAGTAGATAATGAAAATAACTGTTCGTTCAGCTCCAACTGTGCTTTTCACCTGTTCCTCTACTTTTCATAGAAAGTAAAAACATGTACACATTGTGCAGCTGTGTCCATCTGTGTGATCTTGGGATCTGATGTTTCTACCCAAATGTTTACAACAAGAAGGAATGTATACTGTTTAAAAGTGTTTTGAGTGTCTGTTTTCTTAAAAAGCCTGGTGCATCAGTGATACTGGAGCATCAGAGTTGTTCAGACAGCAAACAGCTGGTTAACCCAGCTTTGAGTTCAGGAAATCCTGTGGCAATTTTTTTTGCATACATAGTACTTCCTGCTGTACACAGTGGTACGTTATATCATTATGTGGAGTATGAACTATTTTGATTTGCTGCATTTCAGCAATCTAAATTATTGTGCAGTAGCCTCTTGATTGATAAGATGTAGACTGTATGTAACAAATTATCTAATGATCTGTGACTATTTCACAATTGGTTATTAAACCCCAAATGGGAACTGTTATGCAATTTTATGAAGCCACATAATTTAAGAAGTTCTTATCTAGACAATGAGAAGCACAGTGTTGAATTTCAGCTGTGACTCAGTCAACTCAAGCTTTTCATTGTCGTCTGTATTTGTCATTAATATGCTTCCACTTCCATGCAAAGATTTGCTGCTGATCTCTGTTTTACATAACTGTAAGCGGAATAGTCTTTTGATTTTGGACTATTGGTTGGACAAAAAAACAGACATTTTTAAATTTTCGATGGGACTATTTTCTGATCTTTATAGATTGAATAATTAAAATACGATAAAACAGAACTTTAATAATTCAGAGCGTTGTTGTGCAGCAGTTGTCGTACAAAGTATAGTGCAACTATAAAAGGAACAAGAAACAAGGAAGTAAAGGAACATCAACAGGTAAAGATCATTATTAGAGAGGTGTACATAGACATAGTATGTGACATATAGTGACATAAGTATGTACAATATCACATCTCAAGTTCGGGTTAAGTGTATGTGTGTAATTTTAAAAATGTCCATGTTTATGTCCATGATAGTGTACGTAAATGTCCAATTAAGGTCTGCTCTCATCTAGCATTACTAACATGTAGTCTCTATCATAAAACTGTAGCTTATTATCTCTTTTAATTATATGTAACACACTTTAACTTGTGTGGCAAAGAGCTACACAAGTGAAGGTATAATTATTTACAAATCGATTAATTTAGACACTAATGAGGAGATTAATCACTAATTAAAATAATCATTAAATGCAGGACTTAGTTGCACTTATTACTACGCACACTGTGACAACCCTGTAGCTACAGTACTATAGTGTGATATCAGCAAGAAGCATGGGTGGTGAACTGAAGATTGCTGCAGCAGATGATGACCCCACCAGCAGTATCAATTCTACAACCGCATTTTTAATGAGATTATCTCTGCAAGAAGACAGCACTCCCAAAGGTCTCTCCCATTACAATTCATGATCTCTCACCAACACACACACACACACACACACACACACACACACAAGCACTGTCACACTTTGTGGCAACAGGACCCACATATCTGTCTTTGTGCTGTATGTCTTTCTACTTCTCTGCCACTGAGTCATTTCCTCGCTTCTTATCAGAGCAGCTCCTGGGCAGACCAGGTGCATCAACAGAGACTCCAAAGGGCATTATAAGTATACATTTCATGCCTGCGTGCCTGATTTGCATGTCAAACTAACTGACAGTTAAAGGCGCATTTCACTTTAAGGCTTTTTGTTTGTTATGCAAGTCAGGTGTCTCTACTAGCAAATAACACAACTGCAATAAAGAAAAGATCAGGCAAAACAATGTAACAATAGGAGAAAATAGGCTACATATTGTTTCTTTTGCAGCAGTCACATGAATTAAAGGTGAATGGCTTCATCCCACCAGCATGTTTTAAGACAGAATACACAAGAAAGGCTGTTAAAGAGCAAGACGATCAGAAATAGGCCTCATTTCTTTGATCCATGGTGGCATAAACTACAGAAAAAGCAATGTGTGAACTTCTGTAAAAAGCTCTATTCAGTCAGATCAGCTGCTTGTAAGGTCTTGTTTAACGCCTGGTGGACATAGTCACATGTCAAACTGCCAGCAGTAGAAATGTTCTTCCTTGTCTTATCAAACACACACAGACACACAGAGATATCGTTAGATTATAGCTAATATTATGTTCTCATTCTCATATATATATATACATATATGTATGACCATACTTCTTCTTCTGCTTGTCTCGGGGACTCACAACGTGCGTAAAACCAGGAAAAAGGTTTCCCCCGTCAATAATTCACTCACCTTTCCATTTAAATTATTAATGTTTATACCACAGTGTACCGCCAGATAACGTACCTTCGGCTTGTCGAATACCACTTGTTCAGGGGAGAGCTCGGCCATCGTACAGAGCCTGCGAGTGCCGGTGAGTCTGCTGGTGCACAGAGAGCTGAGGACTGGGGAGCCAAAGCCTATCGCAACTCGTCTGGCTATTATATGCATGACTCTGGGACACGCCTTTTTTTTTCACCCAACTGCAAAAAAAAAGCACCGCCAAGAGCTCTTAAAGCGTACAGCAAAGTGAGAGGCTGCAAGGAGGCACAGAGCAGCAGGTCGTGCGGTTCGGTGTGCATTAACACATGTAGACCAACAGTAGGTAGAAGGATTAACGGCCCTGTATGGCAGCAGCTTTGCACCCATGTGATGAGAGCTTTACCGCCGAGCTAATTAATTATGTCAAACTGTTACACAATGCAGAAAATATTTGTGTTGTGCAATGTCGGCTGCCAAAAACAAAACAAAACAAGGGCCATGAGGAATGTGTTGACATAGACCTGCAGTGACAGCGAGGAGATTTCAGTGAGATAGTTACTACAAGGTCATTGGCTCTGCACACCTACTGTCATAAGAAAAGCACAAATCATCTGCTGAAAGGTGCTCAGAAATATAATTAACTTTTAAAAGATGGAGGAAATCCTGCAATCTCAAATGCAAATATATGGTTGAAACATTGTTGTTTTGTTTAAACCTGTCCGGCCCTGGAGACTTAGGGTCCTCTTTACCAGCTCAAAGACTATACAATGTTTAATCACCTTGATACTTCATACTTCTCCTAGTTGTATGAAAATTGCTTGTAAAAGTGATTTTGATTCTGATGAGATATAAAAAATGATGTATTACTTCTGTTTGGACCACAGCTGTAACACTGTTGAATGTACAGAGCATTAGTCAGATAATCAGTTTGACAGAAAGTTAATGGACAATTATATTTGAATAAATATTTAAATGATTTCTTGAACAAAAATGCCAAAACATTTAGTTCCATATTCTTAGCAGAGAGGATTTTATGGTTTTCTTTGTCATAAACTGAATATTTTTGGGTTTTGGACTCTTGACAAGACATCAGAAAATGTAACCTTTGACTCTGGGGAATCAAAACAGGAATTCTTCACAATGTTTTGGCATTTTATAAATGAAACAAATTGATTAATTGAGAAAAGAAATACATGTTAAAAAAGACAATCTTTGCAGCCCTATAACATGACTAAAATACTATACATTTCTTTGTCTCTGAATGTACAACTTATTTTAACATTTAAATTAATACATAACATTAAAACATAAAACATTTCCTTATTTAATGTAATAACAATCTTTTATGGTCATGGTCATCTTTTGTCTCCACCATCAAATGTGCAAAAAGAAGGGTTTTCACTTCAGTATCTTTCTGCATATTTGGTTTTAATCATATTTTTAAAGTAATTATAATTGTTATTGCTGGGTCTGCGGGACTCAAAAAAACAAGGAAGTAAAGCCAATATCAACTATCAACAAAGATTATTTAAAACATTTTAATGCAACAGTCTAAACAAGGCGTCAACAGTTAAAATGTCAAGCTGGTATGTTATTTGTTTACTTTGCTTTGGCTGCAGATTTAAGACTTTAACCAGACGTTTCTTCTCCTGAAACTGAGCCCATCAGCATCATTGCCTTTTTGTGGTGTGTGTGCGTGTGACTTCCACTTCTATTGCCCAGTTGTCTGTTTGTTTTGCTGACAGAAGAAACCTTTAGCATATTTTCTTTGCTACTTTTCTAAAACACAGAGAAACAGTTGCAGCGATGCCTCTCAGTAATGTATTTGTGGTGATTCTAAGAGATCTTAAGAGATGTTTTTAGGTCCTAATAGTGTCCTAGTGAGCTAAAAGTGTGCGTGGTTAATTGTTTTTATAAAAGTCACAAGAAGCAATTATATTTTGTCCTTACTTCGAAAGATACACAACCCATAGGTCATATCGGCTTCTGTCTCCCCTGCTGAGGTTTTGAGTTTTCTGCTTCCAACCAAATGCACTGTGGGGGAGGAGACGTATGCTTGTGTTTCTTAAAGCTAAAAATAAGATTCAAACATCTTTGCACTTTGAGATACAACATCCTGGTTACTCAGAATAATCGACTGCTCATGCTGAGTTTTTATTGGATCTATCTTCCACTGAAGAAACAGTTCTGGTGAAAGCCTCTCAAATGTTGAACCTGTGCAAAGTTTTCTTTGCCACTGAAGCGTCAATTAGCAACACCTTGTGGTTAAAGCTCATATGAAACCTGCAGACAATGCGTTCTGGTTCTGATAAAATCACAATGTGATATTGGAAAGAAAATCTCTTTTCCTTTCTGGCTGCTTCTCCTTTGTGTTGCGCAAACAGGCATCCATTACCTGCCCATTATGTTTAAACAGTCCACCAATTAGTTGTTCTGATCACATTATAAAGATAAGGGAGATTATACAATGAATGAGAAGACTGTCTTCTTATCACTTGTCACTTATTCACCTGTGCTTGCAGTTTTTATACAAGGATACAACTGAGACTTTGGCATCATATTTGCAAAATTGCGCCACAAGTTGTGAGACTATAAACCTGTAGTAATTGTAGTCGTAGTAGTCATGGTCACAATACCTCAAATCTTCATTTACAAATGTGTGGAATTTAATTCAGATTTTGTGTAACCAGCTTTTGAGCAAATAAGACACACAATCGCACAAACATGCTGTATCTTCAGTTTTTGTTCTGGCAAATTGTTATAATGATTTTTATTCTGCATATAGGCTACCACACACATATGTCAAACATTTTAGAAGCATGAAAGGCTCTCAATTATAGAGACAAATTAGAGAGCGATGTATGAATAGTAGTGCAATCAACTCTCCAGTCTTTGTCCCAGAAGCCCAAAAATACATCAAGAAATGGAAAGTGGGAAGCCACATAATTGCTGGTAGCAGGATAACTTTTTTTTCCCATTTCCAGTCTTTATGCTAAGCTAATGTCTCTTGGCTGTAACTTCATATTAAGCGTACAGACATGAGAGTGTCATCCATCTTTTCAAATGGCTCTTGATGAGGAAGTGAAAATGTTTAACTATTTCTGTAAGAATGGGCCCATCTGGTTGAGGTCAGAATTCCTACAACCGTTGAGTTTTATGAACTTTGCCTTGTACACAGTGCTATCGTCATGATGAAACTGGGAATGGCTTTTCCCCATACTGTTGGAAAGCACACTGTTGGCAAACATATCAATACTGTATATGATGTTGCATGAAGCAGCAGCCAGCAACTGATTAGCTTAGCTTAGCATAAAGACTGAAAACTGAGGAAACAGCTAGCCTGACTCTGTCCAAAGGTAATAAAATCCACCTACCAGCTCCTCTAAGGCTCAATAATTAACATGTTGTATATTGTTTCATACATACAAACGCTGAAGTGTAAAAATGACTATACCTTGCCTTGTGCAGTGACTTCCTAGAATCTTTTCATACACTGGTTTTATGTATGAATAGTGTGTACATTTCTCAGCTTTAGAGGTGCAACAGACAGATTTTGCACAGAGCTAGACCAGCTGTTTGTCCGTTTTCAGTCTTTATGTTAAAGCTAAGACCACAATCAAGCATATTTCCCCAAATTTCAGGTCAGAAAGACCTGCAAAAACTAGCTTACCCAGAGTCAAAGTTACTGAGCAGAGAGTTGTGGGGGTGCAGCCAAATCCTTAGCGATCGGTCCTGAAAGCGCTTCACCCAAAATGACCTACCTGGCCTTTAGACTCGTCTCAGGTGTCAAGAAAATGGAGAAGTCTTGACAGTTGGGTCACTCAGTGGTAATGTTAGTGAATCCCCATGTAGTCTCCAAGAGCACTCTGGCTTGTGGGATCTGTCAAAGCTGTCAAGACGTGATGGAAGAGCCTGTATACAGCAGACATTCTGGTTAAGGACAAAACGTTCACCAGGCCTGTAGCTCACGTCAAAGTGCACGACTACCAGCCCTCCCAAAGGAGGAGAAGGTCTCTGATGGAGTTGGCCTAATTAGAGAAATGTGTCTGGACATATCTGGGGACGGCTGTTAGAAAGGCCACTGTTGTTGATTTAGGGTCCCATGCTTTTAAAAATGTCCAGCAGGTGGCACAGAAACATAACCTAACTAAATAACTGCTGTCTGTTTTGACAATTGAAACATAAGGGTCCAAATCATGAAAAACAGCCTATACAAAAAAATATGGACATACTTTTGGCCATATACTGTTGTGCTCCATTAAATGTACCTTAAACAAAACTACACTGTTCCCTTTTAATGAGGACCACAATGGAAATAAGCATTTACCTTCGTTGTATATTTATCCTCTACAGTCTAATTCTGTCTATCTCTCCAGGCCCAGGTTCAGTCTCTGACCAATAAAACACTTTTTCTTTTCATCCTCCGTCATATCAAAGCAGTATTTCTCCACCTGTCCTTTGAACTACATCATAGCATTGATTTCTCAGTGGTTTTCAAACACTGCATCAAGCTTTTCAACCTCTGTCATGTCACAGCGGCGTACAATAGGTCTGCAGGTTGCAGGAGGAGAATGAGAATCTACTGTTGTGGACTTTTTATTTGCTCTGTTTGGGTTTCACAATAAGTCCTACAGATGTTCCCACTTTTCACAAATCGCAGCTGTTTTCATACAAAGCTGGACATTTAAAAACACCCCCTCCTGATTACAGTACATACATGTAATATTCACATTGTTCAGTTAATATCCAAATCTTGTGGTGCATGCTCACAAGTGGCTGTTTAATATGACACAAAACTGTCATCATTGCATCTCCATATTCTGTCCAATAGGTCCTTTTCACAACAGATAATTTGAATTGTAATAACAGGAATAGCACAAGTGTTACTAATAGCTAATTACAGATGGCTCAGTTCCATTAAGTATCCAGGTTCTTTTAATTATAGTGGTCATGAATCCCCAAACACTTCCTGCTTCAAAACAATGCCACAAAAAGAAAGTCTATAAAATTCTGTTGTTATTTGTATTTTTCATATTTAATTTATTTATTTAACTTTAGGTGTTATAGTGTCTGTAAAATTTATTTCCCTACAAAAAGGTCTACTTTTCCACAGGGATAGAAGTAAATTATGTTAGATAATTGAATTGATTTTCACGTATATTGTTAAAATCGCAATCGTGCTGCAGTACTCCGAAATAAGATAA